GCTTATGGGGTATAAAGCCTACGGGGCACAAAATTCGCGTGCAGAGGGTGCCGTTTAGTAAACGCTTTAAACCATGCCCAAAACAGACGTAGCAATTTCGTTAGCGAAGGATTGAAAATTTTATACGATAAAATTGACTTTGATTCTTTTTAAATGATTACTCCGATTTTTTTTCCCCTCTCCCTCTCTCTTTTATTCTTTTTTCTCCTCTTTTCAAGTAAAATTTTTATAAAACGTGACAAAAAAAGTGGTTTGGTTTGCGTTCGAAAACTCTTTGTTCCAATTATATTTGTAAATTTATGTAACCGTAAATTTATTTGTTCGAAATATTTTTATAAATATCTTCAAATATCCGGAATGTGATCATCATTTTCTTGTATTTTATGCGCGATAAAATTCTTGTATGTAATACGCAATAAAATTGTAAACCTAAAAATTAAGAGATTAAATATTATTATGAAATAAAACGTTTATATAATTAAATTAACCATCCTCGAATCGTCAGTTCGAATCTCTCACTGGCATGATACCTAATCGGATATCGAGGGGATAAAGAAGATACGCACTGCGCACACGCAACCATCCCTCCGCTACGATTGTCAAACGCTAAGACTGAATAATTTCCTTTTCCAAATGTTATTCCATAAAAGCTTAAAAAAACGAATATATTCGATATAAGGATAATAAATATTCTAAGAATATTCTTTCAAAATCAAATTTACAAGAATATTACTCGACGTATGTAAGAATTATAATTTAAGGATATCACAACCTTAGATTAAATTATTATTGATGAATGCATTCCCATTCTCGAACGAATCGTCAAATTTCATTCGCGCGTATCCTGGAGAGCAAACAGCGCAAAAACACGATGAAGGAGCGAGAGAAATAAAAATTCTGGACGCGTTGAATAATGCAAGAGCCGGGAGGAACATCAACTTTTTCCGTGATGCGCGATTCAAAGTTAGACCGAGAACAGTTCAATTTATGGTGGGATGTTTGATTTACACGCGAAACAATTAGAACAACCATTTCGCTCGAAATGAATTTTACCGTCTGACGCGATACGAAATTTTAATTACAATAACAGGCGAGATTCGCGTTTATCTATTCGACCGGTTTTCGAGTCGGTAAAATTCAGTTTCGATTTCGAATTACAATCGTATCGAATTGATCGAATCGCTCGTTGAAATTTGAACTTTCAATTTTCATCGTATTCACCGATCGATGAAAATTAATATTGGACAGAAAAAAATATAAAAAGGATGAAAAGACACAAGTGGGACAATATACTCGAATTAAAAAATAAGGTGATAATAAAATTATCAGGATAGCGGAAAACGTCGTATTTTCTTCCTTCTCCCAACGATATTTCTCTAACGAAATCGACCTAGAATCGAGGATCATCGCGAATCGTGAGCACAACTCGAACCTCTCGTCTTGGAAAAAAAAAGCTCGAGAATTCTCGTAATCGGTAAAAAGAACAAGTTGAACGGGAGGAAGAACAGGCGGCAATTAAATAAAGCCGTTGCACGGCGTGCAACAGCCTGGGCGAAGTCGAGAACTTGGTTCAGACGTGCGTGACGCGCGTAGAAGTGTTTCCGTTAAAGGCAACAACTGGATATCGTTTCGTTTCTCCTTCCCCCTTCCGTCTTCCCTTTCCTTCGAATCGAAATAATTCGAGAGTAATTTCAATTTGGCGGTAGCCGACTCGCAGAGACACTAATTACGAAAATCGTGGAGGAAGTTGGCCGGAGAAAGTTCGTCAAAACTTGACGTAATTAGATACCGGACCGTGCCATTCCCTCTTTAAGGAAATTTCGCTCGGGAAAGGAAAAGGAAAACTACGATCTTGTAATATCGGATATGGAGGGAAGGGGTGGAGGTTCTTTTTCTATCGTTTGGAAAGCGCAATTATATAAGGGCGGAAAAGTAATGTTTGCGATTCGTATTGCAACATTGTCGATGAAAGGATTTCATCGCGTGTAAACTTGATGAGACCGCGTGAAGATAATTAGGGGATAACGATGAACGTTAACAAATCAAGGCGAGTCTGTAAATAATCCGTATGTAATATTCAGCGATATACCGGACGACGATAATTCACAGTTTTGCCGCGGAGATCGATTTAATATTCAATTACCCGTTAAAATTACAACGGGCGATTCTGACAAATTCGTTCGCGTTCCCTCGAATTTTAATCGAGCTTTCGAATTTCCGTGTTGGGCGAAAGTAGGACAGTCGCGTTGCCTCGAGTTTGACGAATCGTCACGTGAAACGTGCATAGAAAATATCGCGATGAGAACGGAATGGATTTTAAAAAGCTTCCGTTTTTAATAGTATCCTCTTAGAGTCTTAAAGTAAAATACGCGCGTTATTATATTCGTCCAAATATAATCTCTATATATACGAAACATACGGATAATATACGTAAACATTTTTATTGTCTACGATAAAAGAAATAAAAGAAATAATACACGATAATAATACAATCGATCCTTGAAACACATATTCTCATAACTCGTGCGTAGTTTAATCATTACCGTTTCGTAGATCATCCTACGATTTTAATTCCGATAATCAGCAGTGTTCAAAGAGATCCTGATATCCTCCTTCCCCATGCATTATGGAAAACCAACCGTCTCCAACCCTCCCCGTCTGTCTCCTTCTTCCTCCCGCGCTCGATGCCTCTTTCATTTCTCCATATCTTTTGCTCCGGCTTCCCGTTGTTATCGGAAATCAATAACAACACCGCCGTAACAAACCCATTGTTTTCCACCGCCCTTGTGAAATCGTGTTCCGAAAACTCCCTTTCCGACCATTTTGAGTGACGCTTTAACGAGCAAGGTGATCTCGGTCTCGGGAAATTGGCTATCATTGATCAGACCTAATTCTTTTATTATATCCGCGTGCAAGAGTAATCGCGGTGGAGAACTCGGCGACCGACTTTTCCTCGTTTCTCTTTTTTCCTACTCCTTTTTTTTTTCCATCGATCCATCGAAAAGAGAAAAAAATTTGAAATATCATCGGGTAAGTGGACAATCGTTTCCTGTTCCCGATTTTCCGAATTGGAAGGAAAAGTGGTGGAGGAAGGGAGAGAGGGAGAGAGACAGAGAAAGTTTTCACTCTGGCACGAGCATCCATCGAGCGAAGGGGAAGGGAGGGCCGTTGAAAGGGCCGCCTATAAGTCTTAATTAATTCCTTCGTTCGTAATTTTATCGAATCGCCATTCTCCACTCTTCTGTTGGGTGAAAAGATTACGAGCCGATCATCGATATTGTTCCGTGAAGACTTTATTATATGCATCCTTTCACCCCGTTGTCGAGACGATCAAATGGACGAACAAATAAATAGAACTCGCGGAAAGGGGATAAATCTACTTGTTACTCGAAGGGAAATTTACGTTGGAGATGCGGCAGAGCTGCTTCAACATAAAGAGAAATGGAATCTATAACTTCTCTTTGCTCAAGCTGCCCCGATTTTTTTAAAACTCGAAATCGGGAACACTTGTGTTTCGAGAGACCAATTATTATAGGTACTTATTTAACCGTAAAAATAAAATTACCGGGAATACCGTCGAGGCTATCGGAATTATATCATCTAAAAAAAAAAAAAAAAAAAAAGAAAAAGCGTACCTTCGTGACCGTTATTTGAATTGTTTAATCTTAATCTTACTGAAACGAAGGTAAAAATAAACGAAGATAAGAAGAAATTCTCTGGAATAAAATACGATACGATATTATTTCAGGATAAGCAAAGTGGGGGAAAAAAAAGAAGAGAGAAAAATTAATGGACGAGAAGAGGCAGAAACGCGGAGTAGAAAATCGGCGGACGAGTGATCAATAGTCTGAGCATAACTATTGCGCGTGAAGCAACAATGTATCGTCGACGCACAGAGAGAGGAAGGCGTGGCAGCGTTCATTGGACCCTTAATGCCAATGCCAATGTCAGGGTTTTCCCGGTCAGTAACCCAGAAACCCCCACTTTCAATATCCCCCTGGAAAACCGAGAAAACGCCATCCCGTCAATCCAGCTTTCAACTGGGTTGAAACATCGTTTCCTCGAACATCCCTCGACCGACAAGCTATGCTAAGTTGATAACGCAGAGAGGTCTTTTTACCCTCCAACATAAGGGGGTGAACTGTAACGAAACTGTTCCACCCTCGCGGATATTGCAGATCGTCGCATTGCCGACGTACGTGCTTTTAGTTTCCTGTATTCGTGATGTTAACGCGTTCGATAACGTTAAATGAAGATAAGGAAGAAAAGTGAGAACCGTTTCGAACGTAAAGTGACGAAAGTTTTAAAGAAATTTTAAAATGAAAATTCGAACTCGGTGTCTTTGAGCGGTTATTCGAGATTTGCATAAGAGAATGAAAAATGAGAATTAATCGCGTGTAGCCATGGAAGGATACCACGAAAGGACAATGATAATCCGCTTACCATTTGTTTATCAAGCGCCTCCATAATTTCGCCGACATCGCCGACGACCACAGCTTGTTTCCGTAACATCTCTTCTTCCACAGCTAGCCAGTCGCGTATCTGAAAGAGAAATGGAGCGTCAAATGTCTGTGTTGAAACATTTTTTGGAAAAAAAAAAAATAGGAGAATTATTTGAAAATTTCAGATGTCGTCGAGTAAAAATTTGGCCGTTCGAGGAGCGATGGGATAGAAACGGAAAGAAGTGATCGATCAGAGGGGCGGATAGAAGCGAATCGAGTATTTACAAGCGGAAATTAGATGGGAGCGCCTGCTCGTAAGTGGCTCGTGTCCCGATATCAGAGAAGGGACAAGGGAAAATGTACCGATACACGGTTATTATAGCGCGAAAACATTACTCGCGCCACCATCCATTGTCTTCGGGGCATTGTTCCCGTAATTACCAAGCATTGTCCCTGGTAACGAGATTATCGTGGCAGAACGCAAATTTCACCGCAAATATCTACATTTCAATGGCAAGGAACAATAGTTTTTTTTCCTTTTTTCCTCGTTAAAGAAAGAGAGATGCGCGTAATTAAATATCAAGGATACCTCGGTTAAGGATCGGTTAATTAGCGTTTCATCAAGAACGAGCAATCATTGGTGTGAGAACGATTCGACGACGACGATTTCCATCACCGTGAATGCAGAGAACCACGACGAACTGTGCGCTTCCAAACGAATGAATAATTAATTTTGCGTTCAATCTCGAAAGATTTGAGCCATTCAATACATTTAGAACGCTGGAAAACTTAACTGATGGATTGGATGAGCTCGGACAAAGGTATCGTTTATCCGCGGAATTCTTCTTTAAGGAAAGATTAATGGACAATTTGTACCCTTTTAAACGATACGAGTGGAACGGGCAATAATTAACGAGTCGATTATTGGATTTATTCAAATCAAGGCCAGGTGATGTGGGTTAAACGAGGTAGAATATAAAATTTTCCACTTTATCTTCCGTAATTAATTCAATTCTTCTTCTTTCTACTCGCTTTCGTCTCTATTTAAAAAAAGACACAGAGGGACACAGTTTACGTAAAGCTTTCGGCTAAAAAGGCTACGATGATAATCTAGTTCGGATGCTGGTTAACGCAACCAGGAAACGGATGCTTGAACGCGACCAATGACTAGCAACTTTGCTACGAGTGGTGAGCGTGCAAGTAAGTTGGCGGGTAGGTCAATAAATCGCGAAAGAGATAAGCCGGAATGCTACAGGAAATTAAGGTCTCGCTCGGCCTCGCCGACATTTTCCACCCCTCCGAAGTAGTCTCTCTCGAAACTTCGCGTCTGAGCCAATGTCCTTCTCCTCTCTGCCTTTCACTTCGGGCCCATTCCGCCTTCGCGTAAAGCCGACCTGATTAAGTGCACGTTGTCGAACAACGATCATATCTCTCGTGTGGTTTTTCTTCAAGGTGGATGTATTTCTCTCTCTCTCTCTCTCTCTTTCTTTCCTCCCTTCTTGAAAAGCCTCGACGAGAGAAGCCTCGATGAAAATGAAAGGCCTAGACGTCGCCCTCCCCCCGCCAATCCCAAGGGAGCACGCCGCGAAGGGAAGGATGGTGGAATATATGTACGGAATGGAAAATATTCCTGCGAGTCCTCGTATATATGCCAGAAGACTTTTCACGCGACAGTAGCTTTGATATTTGACCCGTTGAAAAATGCACCAGGGAGTGGTGGGATGATTATCGTCACGTAGTAGGGAGGAATTTTAAGGTAAATGTAGAATTGAGAAGACGACAGAACGGTTACGATGACGTGAAACGTACGTGAAAGAGATAAGAAGTTGAGATTGACAAATATTTATATCAAATATTTCCCTTGGTTCTATTTTCTCTCTCTCTCTCTCTCTCTATTTCTCTTTTATATAGTAATTTGAAACTATTCTTCATCGTACGGTTTACTCTCGATTCGTTGTTCCTCTCGTGTACCGATGCTTTAAAAAAAAAAAAATTTATCTGCTCGAATATTTTCGTAAAGCTGGACGAACAAAGAGACGCGAATTGTGGAACAAGTGAAATTTCAAATGAAATTCGTTTATATAGAAGAACGGAAGAACGGAAGCGTGTGTAAAATCCGTTTCGTTCGTTCGATCGTAAAAATATGGATATATGTGTGTGTATATATATATGTGTGTGTGCACGGAACGACGCGACACCTATTTTCAGGAGAATTTATCCACGAGAAGGAGAACGAGAACGAGAACGAGCCCTCTCAGAAATCGAATCAGGGAAACTTAATTAAAAATATTGGAAGGCGAACGACCATCGCAGCCCGGGCTGACCTATATCGCGCCTCTTCCACTTGTTCCATCGTGTCACTCAAAATAAACGAGCCGCTTAATTTGAAATATAAACGCAGCTGTGCCTGAAATCGATACAAGGTAGGCTCGGCAAATGATGAAAAATAGATGGAATCCATTTCGTCGCCGCCTCTTTCGATCGAGTTCCAATTTCTCGAAGCGAAAAAAAAGAATTCCGAAATTATTTATGGAATTATCGATAAACGAGGGGAGGGAAAGAGAAAACAGTTGGAACATTTGCAGGAAATTGTAGGACAGGGCCGTTAACCCGGAAAGAAGATTAAAAAGACCGATCTTTGAATTCTCGGATAACAGAGGAAAGCAACGAGCGTTATTGTATATCGATATATTAAATTTTTCCATTGAAAAGCGCACAAGCTTATTTTTCGCTTTTGATTGAACAGAATTGGATCGATCCAACGTTTTGTCTCTGGTTTCTTCTTTCATCGGGGACGGGTGAAACTTTCCGCATTAACGGCGTATATTTCTGCGTGAAAAGTTCAACGACTCTTCCTCCCACGTTCGGCCGCGCTCGTTCCATCCGTTGTTTCATCGTCGCGTCTTTCTCTCGTGGAAAAAAAATATCCTAAATTTCAACGAGTCTTCTGCTTCTTTTTTTCTTTCTTTATTTCTTATTCTTTTCTCCCCAATTTTTAACGTTTCCAAATTCCAATTCATTGACGAAAGACGCAACGACGAGGGGAATTGGTATCATCGGAACGAGCATAGATCACGGGGCAGGGATGAATTTAATACAGAGAAAAAGTTGACAAGGAGCGCGTACCATGCGAGAACACGCGCGTCAAATAGGAAAACATTTCGCCGGGACGACCAGCAAGAATCTAATAAGCTAGATACCACGCTTGCCTCAAAGGAAAATGGAGTACGAAATAGTTTCTGTGCCAGGAGACACAGAAACGAGATTCTGTACGACGAAGAGAAAGCGTATAGAAACGTGATTGAGAAAGACAGAGAGAGAGAGAGAGAGAAAGAGAGGGGAAGGACGGAAAAGGACCAGTTTCTGGCATGTGGAAATAAAAAGAAAAAAAAACACACGCGTGTATCGCTCTCCACGGTGAATGGAGGAACGTAGTTTTTAAAAACTTCGGTGAAGAAGAAGGGTAACGTGAATAAATGGAGGTTTAAATCGAGCTCGTTTAAAATTTCACCAACCTAGTTTTCCAAGTGTTCCCCGCTTTCGTTTGTCTTTTATTATTCTTCCTCTTCCTCTTTTTCTCCCCGTCTTTTCTTCCCGGTTTTCGCGCGGGAACCACCGTGTCAGAATCGATGATGGCCGACCTAATCAATTCCACGGAATAGCCGTGGGCACGCACGAGACGAGGCCTAACGCGAGGCAAAATAGAATTTCATCGGCAACTCGATCCCCGCTCGAGTCTCGTTACCGCGAAGCCTCTCGCTCGTTTTCATGCAAACAGCACAATACTTGTCAGCGAGACAGCGCAGCCGGAAATGGAAGAAGGGAGATAGCTGTTATGACGTCGAGCTGAGCTGCAGTCTGACTGTTGACTCGGCAAATAGGAAAGGCGTACCATAGAATCGACACAATGGACGGCCAGATGACAATAAAATCCAT